AAACAGAGTAGTCAGCATAGCTACTACCAGTTTTGTTATAAACCCTCCATCCATTTCCGATTTGACTACACTCTGAGAAATGAAAGCATTCACAATGCTTTCATTAGTGCCTGCCATTGACAGATTACAGAAACAAAAAGGAACAATATGTAACACTATTTTAACCAAAAGCCTGTTAAGTCAGCTAGCAAGAACTAAAATAATGAACAGAAAACACATTTGAGAGTTAGAGGCAGCCTTGTAAAGGCTAAGTGTACAGTTTGAAAGCACCCTGTATATGTGCAGTCAGTAGTTTTCTGTATAGCCTATAAAAATCAACCTTACTTTGATCGTTGATGGAGTAAAGCAGAGAAGTTGCATCTTGTGAAGCCTTCAAGCTCTGAGCAATGACACAGATTTCTGTGACTTTTATGCTGTATAGTGACATCACAACATCAGAGAGGCAGAGCAAGAGAGGATTTGCTAGTTCTCTCTCTTTCCTTTCTATGTCTTACACACACACACCTTGTTACTTGCTTTCTCATACTCCCCTTATATGTCCTGATTGTTGAAAGTTGCAGCATACAAGTTTCTAAGGTTATCTTGATAAATTTTAGGATTCACTTTAGATCTTGAATAATTATTAGAAGATACAGAATTCTATTTATGTAGTGTTCTAATAAACTCATAATTGAACTTGAATTGTTAAAGACATACACCTCAGATAAGTATTTGTACAAAGTGATAAAATATGATTTTTTTTTTTTCTTCCTATACCTGATCCTTGAGGTCGATTGGCCGAAGCTAAGTACTCATACCGATCTAACCTTACTGGCTTACAATTTCTGCAACTATATAAATAATTTATTTTCTTTCCCGTTTTCTCATATGTGCATCCCACATGCTCTTGCTTAAAACTCAGAGCATCAGATTTTATTAGTGAATATTAGTGATTCACGCTAACAGTAGCTGCAAGTCATAGATTTCTTAGCTTGCTTGAAGCAACAGGCCACAAGATACCTCTGAAGCGTGATACAGCTGACTGACAGAGGTGCACCACAGGTGGGGCCAGTAGACACAGGCCTGGTTAGCAGGATGCTATGCTAAAGACTAAACCAAGCCTAAAGGCTATCATTACCCCAAAAGACCAGAGGTTCCTTCCATGTGTCTCTCTAATGCCTCGTTAATAACCTGGGCTAACATTAACTCAGACTATAAATGACTACACAGCAGGAATGAATGATTACTGACAGAAGCCTGGTTCAGCCATTCAGGTAAGGGGCTCCCTTTAGCATGTTTTTCACTGTGTGTAGATTATTTTATTATTATTTTTTTTTTTGTGACATATCGGTGAAATAAATACCTTAGGAAAAATTCCAACTACAATACCACCCACTACCATACCCACGAAATACTGGCATGATGTTGGAATGAGCATACTTACTGCTGCTCATCAGCCCACACCATCACTGTGTATACAAGTCATAGGTATCTGTATCGGTCATAGGTATCTGTATCCCCATCCTGCATTTAATTGCCAGTATCAACGCCAATACTGATGCAGTCTCAGTGCAACCCTAAATGTAATGGCTTTCCCAATAATGTGATACAGTGTCTTCAGTGACGATGTAATAGTATTTTTACCAATTTTGTTATACTCTGAAGTATGGCCTTAAGCATATAACACATGCAAGTGAACTACGCTCAAAACCTTAACATTATTCTTGTTTGTTTTGCTTAAGGAAGCAGCTAGCATTGTTTATTTACTTTAGGACTTTTTCGAATTTTTCTAGAGTGAAACTGTATTAAAAGTGTGGTTAACTGGTTAATTGTAATGTAACAAAAACAATAGATGCTTGCGGGTTAAAATAGCACTCAGTTGATCCCATCTAACAGTGGCCACAACACACTCAGGAGAAATAGTGTTTTTAGGTTGGCTGTCTCCTCTCTGTTCTGCGATGTGTGCGAGTTTTCATGATAAGATAAGTAATGGTGTACTGTAAATGAGAAATACACAAAGACCACTGAGCTTGACGGGACTGAGCCTTATAGCACTGCAAATTCCAAGGATTTATGGAACTTAGGACAAGAAAGGGCTGTTAAGTCCCCTCTATGTTGAATTTGAGAAATTTTATTGTTTTTTGAAATATGTATGCACCTTTTTGAATTTCATGCCAACAACATGTTCCAAAAAAGTTGGGCAACAAAAGGCTGGTAAAGTTGTGTAATGCCAAAACAAACACCTGGTGGTTGACTAAAGAAGTACAGACAGAAGTAAAGATGGAGAAGGGTTCACCACTCTGTGAAAGACTGCACAAGCAAATAGTGCAACAATTTAAGAATAATATTTCTCAACATTAAATAGCAAAGAACTTTTGCTTTTCATCATCTATAGTACTGTGGTAGAATGGACTCGAAGTGGCCTGGAGGTTACCATGTTGGCATGTTTAGAAGAAGTTTGAGCAGAAGGCTGGTTAAATTATTCTCTTTCCCCATTTCTTTATTGCACACATTATCAAAAATACAAACAGTACCATAAAAGATCCTTCCCCATTGGCAAAAAAAAATAGAACTAAAATACATGGCAGGCATTTTGTTACTCTTCCTTTTCTCACTTAATTGCCCTCTCTACCTCAGGGTGCATATTGGCAGTGAGACTAGCTGTCTTACTTGCAGCAGTTAGACTTCCTCGTGCCTGGACAGGGCGTCTCCTTAAATACCTATTGCCCCTCCCAGTGGATTAAACCAAAATTACATTCACGTATTCGCAAGTCAAAATAGTCACGTTCTTGTTCACAATACATACATATTCAGCATTTACTTCAAGTATATAAGTTAAAAAGGGCCGTCTGGGGACTTTAATTTTGCCTTTTAATGACTTGTTCATGTTCAGCCCGCCTACCTGTGTGCCTTCGGCCAATCAGAGTGCAGCACAGAGCATTCTGGGTTTGTAGGTTGGTCTGTGTTGTTCGATGGTAGTGGAGGAAATGCAAGAATTCATCGAGGTTTTGGAATTGTTTGGCCGTGGGATTTACCCCCTCTTTTTAATGTGTTGTGTGCGTACATTTAAATGTAAGTATGTAAGTTCACTTTGTCCATTTCAAGTTTAGCATTATCGATTACTTCTAAACGTTTGGTCGGCATGGTTTGGCAGTATGTCTGTATCACTAATTACCTGCATATGCTTATTATGGCATGGCATGTTGTCTTGCTCTTGAAGGTGCCATTTCTGAATGTTTGGTTTGCATACAGTGCTAAAAGTGTACCACAGTGTAAATTTAAGTGTTTAGCGCCATCTGCTGCAACAAGTTTGCTCAAGCTTGAGAAGTTTCAGTCATGACTCTAAAATTGTGTACACAGTAATGCGCATATAGAGCGCTTTAAGTTGATCTGCTCAGCGAATGCCTTAAATGATGGTCTTACAGAACAATGTAAGCATTATAGTGTCTGCATTCGTTGTTCCTGGTGTCATATAATATTTTTGTACATTTTCTTATGTATGCCTTTGTGTATATTTGTTTGTTCTAGAACCACACACACCCACTTTAACACATTAAAGGGAATCAGTTGGATTCAAGTTGGTGGTGGCTCTCTGTAAAGCATTAGAGAAGCGTCCTGACCTGACGCCCTGTAGTGATTCCGACCGTCCCTGAACTGGCCAGCAGTTTAAAACCTTTAAATATTTTTCAATATGTTCTCCACTTCCTTTTTGAGCTCTGGTATTAAGTGTGCTGGCACCCTGCAGCTGGACTGCCTGATGGGTTCTGTCTGGTTCAGCTTGATCGTGGTGTGCTCAAAGTGGTGCATTGAAATGCTGCTGTAATACATGCAGAATGTGGTTTGACTTTGTCTTGCTGAAATAAGCAAGGCCTTCCCTGAAAAAGACATAATCTGGATGGCAGCATATGTTGCCAAAACCTGTATATATCATTCAGTATTAATGGTGCCTTCGCAGATGTGCACGTCACCCACATCACCCATGCCACCCTGAGTGGTCTTTAGCTTGTTATCAGTGCACACAGTGTCCATGAATTCCAAAAAGAATTTCAAATGTTGATTCATCGGACTACAGGACTCTTTTTCACTTTTCCTCAGTCTATTTTAAATGAGCTTAGGCCCAGAGAAGGTGGCAGCATTTCTGGATCCTGTTTACATACGGTTTTGTCTTTGCATTTTAGAGTTTTAACTTGCATTTGGGGATGCAGCGACGAACATTTTTCATAGACAGTGATTTTTCAGAAGTGTTTTTGAGCCCATGCAGTCTTTCCACAACAAAATCATGTCTGTTTTTAATGCAGTGCTGCCTGAGGGCCCAAAGATCATGGCCAGCAAATGGGTCTTGTCCCTTGCATACAGAGATTTCTCCAGATTCTCTGAATCTTTTAATATTATTATGTAACATAGATGATAAAAAACAAAAGTTATTTGCTGTTTTATGTTTAGAAATATTATTCTTGAATTGTTGCACTATTTGCTTGTGCAGTTTTTAAGTGGTAAACCCCTTATCATCTTTACTTCTGAAAGACTCAGCCTCTCTGAGATGTTCTTTTTATACCCAATCCTGTTACTGACCTGTTGCCAAACAACCACTGGGTATTTTTTTTCAGCATTACACAACTTTACCAGCCTTTTGTTACCCCTGTCCCAACTTTTTGGAATGTGGTGTTGGCATCAAATTCAAAATGGGCATACATTTTTCCATAAACAATAAAAGTTTCAACATTTGATATGTTGTCTTTGTACTATTTTCAATGAAATATAGTGTTTAAATGATTTGCTCATCATTGCATTTTGTTTTTATTTACATTTTGCACAGTGTCCCAACTTTTTTTGAAATGCGGTTGTATTTAAGTATAACAAATTTGAAATATTTTATGATTTTTTCATTTGGGCATATTAATGTATTTATTCAAATGATTATGTATGTTATATTTATATGTATAACTGATATCAAATGTAATTATGTAGTGTTTCTGTTGGAGAAAAGCCAAAGGTCAAAGTCTGAAAAGTGGAAAACACATTTATCTTCTGTATAACCTCATCCCACTGTGCACATCTGTCTGAGCATTGACTGTTACAGAAACAAAGTAAAAGATATTGCGCCCATTGTATAAATCAAGCTGCCATGCTGTGATGAAGATCTGATCACGAGAGCAATACATCTGCATGTACAAGAAGTTAGGATCCATCACTGCTGCAAAAATGATGTCAGTCAAAATGTTTGCAGAGCCAAATAACCAAACAAAGCAAATGGCAATGTAAGTCCTTTTCTGAGTGGCTATTTCAGCGTGTCTTAGAGGAAAGCGTACGGCCACATATCGCTCTAGTGACATCACAGCCAGGTTTAAAGGTGCATTGAGAAATGTTGTAGTAGATATTAACATGATGAGCGAACAGACGGCTTTAGCCAGCTTGAGAAAGGCCAGGGACAGGACATACATCATAGTGGAGAGAATGAGATGAATAGAGTCATTAAAAAGCATGTGTGCAAAGAGAATGTAGCGAGGAGATTCTTTAAAAACACGCTTACTCTTAAGAGAATAGAGCATAATGCAATTTATATACACAGAAAACAGGGTAGTCAGTATTACTACCACAAGCTTTGTTATACTCCCTCCATCCAGCTCCGTTTTGATTAAATTCTGATAACCAAAAGCACTTGCAGTGCTTTCATTAGTGCCTGCCATTGACTGATTACAGAAGCAAAAAGAAATAATATACAACAATATTTTAATATTTTAATTGAAAACTTGTTAAGTCAGCAAGCAAGAACTAAAACAATGAACAGAAAATACAACTGAGAGTTATAAGCAGCCTTGTAAAGGCTAAGTGTACATGTTGAAAGCCCCTGTGTATGTGTAGTCAGTCGTTTGAGTATATCCAATACAAATCAGCTTTCCGTTGATCCCTGATGAGTTAAAGAAGTTGATGAATAATGAACAGAAAACACATTTGAGAGTTAGAGGCAGCCTTGTAAAGGCTAAGTGTACAGTTTGAAAGCACCCTGTATATATGCAGTCAGTAGTTTTCTGTATAGCCTATAAAAATCAACCTTACTTTGATCGTTGATGGAGTAAAGCAGAGAAGTTGCATCTTGTGAAGCCTTCAAGCTCTCAGCAGTGATACAGATTTCTGTGACTTTTATACTGTACACTGACATCACAACATCAGAGAGGCAGAGCAAGAGATGTCCTATTAGTCCTCCCCCTCTTCTCTATCTCTTTTACACACACACACACACACACACACACACACACACACACACACACACACACACTCCTGCTTTCTCATTTGCTTTTTCATACTCCTTTTATGTCTTGTTTTTTGCACGTTGCAGCACAAAGATTTAAAGGGTAAATTTAGGATTCACTTTCATTTTTGAATAAATAATACAAGATACAAAATTATATTAACCAAATTTTTTAGGTTAATATAATATAATATATTAACCAAATTAAAGAAATGCTCCTGAGATAAATATTTGTAGAAAGAATAATGTTATAATGTCCCAATTATGTACTAACTCCAAGAAATGTAATAAAATTGTGCTCTTGGTCAAAAATGTAATAAAACCCAATAATGTAATCAGTGATGCAGCGATTCCACTTTTTCTCTTCCTATACCTGATCCTTGAGTATCGGCCGATGAAGATACTAACTCTAACCTTAATACCTTTAAGTCCTGACATTTATACAATATACGCATATTTATTTTTCAAGTTATTTGTCTCACACATGCGTCCCATACACTCACACTTACATCTCCAAGCATCAGACTCTGCTAGAGTTTATTAAATATTAGTCATTCATGCTAATAGTAGCCACAAGTTGTAGATTTCTCAGATTGCTTGAAGCAACAGGCCACGAGACCCTGCTGCTGCATGATGCAGCTGACCGACAGAGGTGCACTGCAAGCTAGGCTAGTGGCAGAGGTGGCAGAAGTACCCAAGTCCCTTACTAAAGTAAAAGTACAAGTAATCTAGTAAACAAAATACTCAAGTAAAAGTTGAAGTATGACGTCAAATTTTTACTCAAGTAGAAGTGTAAAAATACATGCTCATAAACGCACTTAAAGTAAAAAATTAAAAGCATTTCTTATATTTCAATTTCTAATTAAAATTTTTAAATATATAGAATATCTTTTTATTGAGGGTTAGAGGCACATCTCCATCAGACTAAGCGTATAGAATGGTTTATACTAGAACTGTATCCACAAAAATGCTTTCATCTAGAGCACCCAAACATGTTTACATCTTCCTTTACAAGAATTTGAGATGGACATTGATGGAATCTCTACTAAAAAAAATATATATATATTTTTATCAGATAATTATCAGATCAGATAATTCCTTTAAGTAAGGCCAGGGCTGGAGTGGGTTTTCAGACTGGGAGTTATAGACAAACAAGCCCACACTCCATACACACACACACACACACACACAATTCGCTAACGTCCTGCAGTGTCATTACATCAGGCTTTAGACTACTTCTAACATTAGCACAATCATCTCCCCACATATTCCAACATTCACACCCTGACACAAAACCATGCCAACCATTCAGAAAGCTGAATTCAAACAAATAACCAGCACTGCCGCACCTTCCGCTCACAGACAGACACAATTTCTACACAGAGAAGATAACAAAACCAAGTTAAAAGCAGACAGCTGGGATGCACAATGTTAAACATACAAAGGTAAAGATGTACAAACTTAAAACCTGATGATTATCAAACCAAAAACACAGGTTACTGCCACATTGGGCAGACCCAAATAAAGACGACATAAAAGTTAGATCAAACAGTGGGCCCTGAATGTAACTGCTACATCAGGGATACCTTAACATTATTCTTGTTCATTTTGCTTAAGGAAGCAGCCAACACTGGCTTTCTACATTAAGAATACATTTAAAAGCACCTAAACTATTCTCTACTTCAGTGGATTACAGTATTTTAGTGCTCATTGTGCTCTATGCGGATTGTTGTAACTGAAGATTTTAATACTGTTCTGCAGAGAATAATAACACCAAAGGGAACAAAACATACAATATTTTTCTTATAACACAATGGAAACCACAATAAAACACTTTCAATTTTTCTAGAGTGAATCAGTGTTAATAATGCTATTATTTTGTTACTCTTAAATAAGACCACACTAATTATTTGCCCAGTACACTTTAGCAGAGCTGCTTGATGAGCTACATTATATGGTGGCAGCTATACAATGTTAAGATGACATAACTATCAAAAATTAATTAAGCATTAAAACACGATGGGGAGTGTGTTATCATGAAATAACATCACGGCTATGATAAAGTAAGAAATAAATAAACTGGGCCATGAACGTGGCATTTAATGTGTTTTAATGTTAGCAATTCCTTCCGCCAAATTATAGTTCCTTAACAAGCAGCTTGTTGCTACGTCACAGTAATGAGCTCCGCTCACTTGCTGCACAGCCGGCAGTTCTCTCTCCAGCTCCTTACACTAAATTTCCAAACTGTCATCACCACTGAGCAGCTTTTTTGTTTTTTATTGCGGCAGCTTTTTGGCTCAGTCCAATTTGGTCTGACTCTGAAGATGAGACTACATGTTTGTCGAATGGTATTCTGTTCATGTCTGGCTAATTCTAGGTTGTTTAGGTGTTTTTCTGTCACAGCTGCCATCTGAAAAGCTTGCTTGGTGGTAATGACAGTTTGGAAATTTAGTGTAGTTTCATCTTCAGAGTCGGACAAATGTGATCTTAAAAGTATCCATTTTCTGCTTGTGCGCAAAGTAAGAAGTAAAAACGTTCAAATGGTGTGAACGTCTCCTACAGCTGTCAAACTTGTTGCCTGGCCACGGCGTCTTAGCGGAGTGATGCAGTGTTTGTGAAAAACTCGTGAAGTTATGGCGAAATATCAGCATGGTCAGAACGCTTCTCAACCAATCAGCTTGTGTGGCCGGAACTAACTGTTGTATAATAATCAATAACATACACTACCAAATGGTACCATCTGTCATTTATCATGTAAGTTAAATACTTTTTCACAGCTGAAAAATGCATTTGTTTAGTAATGCAGAATAGATCTCATCAAGATTGGATCAAATCCAGTGCTGAGTACTGAGTAACTTACTATGTTCCTGATAATGCTGTAGTAGTTTGGCTTGTTACCCTGTCTGACCATATTTAATACATTATTATATTTTTGGCAGGTTCAGGATGTCACAGAATACAAGTATTCAGAATACATATGCAGAATACAGGAATTATGTATTCAGTGCAAGTTAGATTTTGTAAGGGCAGTACTCAGTTTACAGTTACCTTTTCAATTTTTAGGAAATATTAGGAGAATATTTTAGAATACTTACACACTAAATTAGAAATATATACACACACACACACACACACACACACACACACACACACACACACAGGCACTTAACCCCCTACTGGCCCAGGTATCGCAGCTCTGCTGGTGACACTGTGCTGCTCCCAGGTTGGGCATAGTTAGGCAGCAAAATGACACATTTCTACTAATAAAGTACATAGCATTTTTACTAATAAAGTATGTAGCATAAGATATCATAGTACATATCATGTATCATGAAAAAGTTGATAGGTATTGTGATATGATATTTTGTCATACTACTTCAGCACATATCACACTACTGAGTTATTTGAATGTTTCATACTGTCTTTAACACAGACATTTCAGCAACTTTGCAGTTCCTAAGCAGTGGCGTTCTCTAACTGCCTGACCATCAAGACCATCAAGAGATCATGATTTAAATCCCAATCATACCTCTGCCTTCTGTGGTGAGAAGACTGAAAAAATGAAGTCCTTAACTCCCCCCATAGACAGGGTTACTATTTCATAGGGGGAGAAGTAACTTGCAGGTGAGAATGACCAAACTGGGAGGAACTGAGTAAAAACCCAATAAAATAAGTTTTAAGATGAGTTTTATTCTCCTTAAAAAGCTATGCAGGTTTCATTTAATTTCATATCAAGGAGCAAAATTACAGAAAAAAACCAAAAAACTGTGTATGTGGTACAAGACAAATTCCTTAGAAACTTATTTTAATCTTAGAATGGCAGTCTAGTATCTGAAAAAAGTTAAGTAAACTTACATAAATGATGCAAAAGTAACATTAAAAAATCTTAACTTGCATAGTCTGTCCTGAGTTACACTGCACTTTTATTTTCTCATTAACCTTCCTTTGATCCCTTACGTTTGATGCTCTACACTGAAAAAAGTGATGCAGTTATACAGTTATACAGCACATACAGTTATAATCAAAAGCAGCTACACTGAAAGACAAAACTGTTTATCTATAATTTTTTGAATCAAGTAAATTCAGTGCCTCCTTTTTTCAGTGTACAGACCTACTATCTTAATCAATCAAATAATTGTGAGGCGCTCCTGACTAAAGAGAGACAACAGAACAGGCAGACATGAAAATTGAGTCCAAAAATACCGCCATTTTTATTCACCAATCAAAGAGACCTCAAAAAAAAATGAAACACAGAGGAAAAAAAGAAAAAAAACTCTATTAAGTTCTTTGTCTAGGCAGCTTCTATACAGGAGGCCCTTTACTTCTCCTGGAGAGGATGGGCTGGGTTCAAGAGCAGAAAGGTGGCTGGCAGCTGGCCAGCATGGCCTTGTTCACGGTGTGGCTTAGTCTCCTGTAGACATGGAGAGAGAGTGAAAG